TAAAATAGTGAATTCGATTTACTGACATCGATTTTAGTTCCTCCTGCATCTGCTCATCTCGAACATTGCACAAGTCATCCTCCTCCTGATCGCACTTGCTTTTAAGGACCAAGGGGGTGACTCGGTTTTCCCATTGTCCCCACTGGAGATCTTATGGGCGAATCTTGTTACGTCTTCATTCTTGGCCGTCGGTCTTGGACTTGAGGAGGCCCAGCCAGATATCATGTACAGGCCACCACACGACCTACGCGTAGGTGTTTTTACGCGTGAGCTCATCGTGGATAAGATGATATACGGAAGCTTCATGGGAACACTTTGCCTCGTCTCATTTGTCTGCGTGGTATACGGTGCTGGGTCGGGAACGGCTTCTTTAGGCGATGGGTGTAATCAGGAATACAATCCAAGCTGCGATACAGTGTTCCGCGCTCGCGCCACTACATACGGAACACTAACCTTTCTCCTCCTTGTTACAGCGTGGGAGGTGAAGCACTTTTCTCGTTCCCTATTCAACATGGATCCGATCAGATATCCCAAGACGTTCTCAGTCTTCCCCACCGTCTGGAACAACCGCTTCCTCTTCTGGGCGGTCATGGCTGGCTTTGTTATTGCTTTCCCAGTCATTTATCTCCCAGTTGTTAACCAAGTGGTCTTCAAGCACCATGCTATCACCTGGGAGTGGGGAATAGTATTTGGTTGTACATGTGTCTACTTGTTGTGCGTTGAGAGCTGGAAGGCTGTGAAGCGGTCGCTGGGCATCGGGAGCGGAAAGACCGCAACTCTTACGCTCGAGGATGCTGAGATGCGGGCAGGATTGGACAATCTTACACCACTATCACTGAGTGCGAATGCGAGCGTAGAACTGAAGTGATTTTGGAACGTTTGTCTGACTGGTTCAACACCAAGTCGGCCATGAATTGTTACTTCCACGGCGTTCAACACGCTCTTATCTATTTTCTATTACGTTTCCAGAATGAAATCATTTGATATATCAGCATGGAATTTCCCAAGGTCTTAAGATACTACAACACAGGGCTATAGATGCTTGGGAAGGCTAAGCCTAATACGGACAAAGAATCCGATTGGCTAGAGCCCTGACCTCGTCTACGCCACCAAGCTAGAGCCGAGTTTAAATCCAGCGTGGTAAAGACCGTTATGAACAGTTTGCTTCCGGATATTCTTGGCGTGTTTGAACAAAGGTTTGATTTATAATCATCGTAATTAGTTTGAAACCGGTCCGGTCCGGGACAACAGTTAGTTGGAAGTGAGATTTAATGCTAGGACGTGAGGCCTTGTACGAAATGCAGGAGCATGGCTCGATTGGTAATCGAGTCTGAGATAACAATCTTGAAAAGGAGGGGCAGGTGACAAGCTGAAAATTCACGCCTGTCTTATGAAGATTTTACTGGAGTGGGAAGTATATGGCTTCAGGATACGAGGATCAATTCCGGACGAAAAATTCAAGGATGTGGGGATGAAAATGGTGGCTTTGTGGCTCTTTAAATCTCATTGAGTAGACAGGAAGTAGTGTCTTATTCAGGGGGTCTCGGAAACATTGTAGACCAGCTTCTCGCCGCTGACCTTGTCCTCCTTGAGCAACTTTAGACCCTCGATCACACCTTTCAGGCCATGCTGACCGACCTTAGGGGGGTGGACCTTGACCTTTCCTTGAGCGAGCAGATCCTCGGCAATGGGGATGAACTTCTCAGCGTGGGCCTTGTCTTCCGGCTTGGCGGGGAAGGGAATATCTCCGAAGGAGAACGCCTCGCCGATGATGGTATAAGCCAGGGTAAAGCGGTCGTTCACATTGGCACGGTTAATTTTGACGCTCAACAGGGCGCTATACTCACCACCATCGGTGGAGATGGCATTGTCGCAGAACGCAGCGCTGGACTCGAGCGAGATACAGTCGAACACGAGCTTCAGTTTGTTATCGGTGGCCTCGCGAATCTTAGCGGGGGCCTGGGCATCCTTATAGTCGTAGACCTCATCGGCGCCAAGGCTGCGGACCAAATCGAAGTTACGCGGCGAGCAAGTGGTCAGGACCTTGTAGCCCGACAGCTTGGCAAATTGAATGGCCAGGGTACCGGTTGCGGTGGAGCCGCCGTAAATCAAAATCGGAGTCGCATCCTTGATGGGTTCGGTGGGCAGTGCAAGCTTCAGACTCTGGTATAGACCCTGGCCCACAGTGCTGATGCCCACTCCGAGGGTGGCGGCCTCCTGGAAGCTCATATTTTCGGGTATCTTCCACTGCAAGTCGGCCTTGACGACGATGTACTCGGCGAAAGTGCCATCTTCAGGCTGCACTGCATTGGCGCCGTGGACGAATCCACACACGCGGTCACCCTTGTTGAATTGCTTTTTGACATCCTTGCCGACAGCCTCAACAGTGCCTGCATAGTCGCATCCGAGGAGAACACCGGGAGGGGCAAAATAAGCAACATGTTTCCAGTCTGTGGGGTTCAAACCCACACTGGCGGTCTTGACGAGAAGATAATCATCACGAAGCTTGGGAATAGGTCGATCTGTGACCAGACCTTCAGTCTTGGGCTGGGTGATGATGACTGCCTTCATTTTGGATATGAATAGAAAGGAATTGAGAAAGGGAATATGGGGAATATGGGGAATATGGAGTATTAAATATGTAGTTCTGATTATAAATCGGAAAAGATGACAAAAGAGATCCACTTACCCTTTTCTAGCCGTCACAATTATTGCACCGACTCCGTTTCAATCTACCCGCTTCTACACAGCCCTTTGTGAACAGCGTTTGCCCCTGGAACATTGTGTTTGGTATTTCTTCGGGCCACATAAGAATATACACAGCTTTGATCACGGGAAAGCCCATGGCATCGGGCATCTTTCGATTCACTCTGACAGGCCTCAATCGATACTCCTGCCTCGGGGCCTTGATTTAGTCTCATGGCCAATTTCCAACATTACACATCAGGGATTATTGACACAGTCGTGCAGCCAGGATTTTGACCCATTCAAACTACCAGAGATATTGCGTCCATCATTCACATGAAACGACGGACTATTAAGCCCCAATCTTGTAGAAAAGCATGACTGCATATCTTCCATACTCATAGGCCAAGGGTCTATTCTTGACTGAGGAATGACTTTCCAAAAACAACAATTGCACCATTGGCACATTCCATGAGCTTTGCCAGCTGTCAAAATCAGTGTATGATGCAGTACCCAAGAAATAAACTGCTAAAAAAACACCGGTGCGCAAAGGCGACTGACATCTGATATCATATCCCGTGTACATAATCTAGTTATACCAGACTTGATATACGGACCCAGACAAACTGCTAATGAAGGTCAAAATATCTTTCATTTTACCACATTTCTATGTTTCCTTTTCAAGAATGTCTGACATGCTAATATTACGAAGTATATCAGAAGGTTGCCCGCCTAGCCGACCGACGCAAGGGGTTTCCAAGGCTGAGAACAAAACCAGACTTCACGCAATTTGAGAATAACTGTTAGACGTATGTCTTGTTATTCGAGTCCAAACCAACGCATTTGACGTCCTTTGGCCTCTGTTCAAAACAAGGTGTCGTCCCGAATCGGCAAACCGCGGGGTCTAGTCGGTTAGTGCTTATCGGCATGAACAACCCCTCCTCAGAAATTCCTCCCAAACTCATATTTTGATTCCAACCAGAATAACACGATTAGCCATGAAGGTGCTTTGTCTCCACGGGAAGGGAACCAGTGGCTCTATCTTCCGCTCTCAGATTTGTTAGCTTTCCAGTCCACGGGTCTTTCCAGACAACTAATCTCACTCCTTAGCCTCATTCCGCGCTAAACTTCCCAACGACATACAATTTGATTTCGTTGATGGCCCATTTAAGAGCGGCGCTGCTGCGGGCATAGATATATTCTACAATCCGCCGTACTACTCCTTTTGGGAACAGGATGGCGTCGACTCTGTCCGAGCCACCTACAACTGGCTGACTGAATATATCGCCAAAAATGGCCCATACGATCTCGCGCTGATGTTTTCACAAGGCTGCGTCCTGGGCTCTAGTGCTCTCCTATTCCATCAGGAAGAGACACCCCATCTCCCGCCACCGTTCAAAGCGGCTATTTTTGTCTGCGGTGGCGCCTCCTTGAGTGTTCTTGAGGAGATGGGCTTCCATGTTTCTGCCGAGGCGCGCGAGCGTGATAGTGCATCCCGGTCTGCGCTAGCTCTGCAGGCTACCTCGTCGGCGCTTCTGGCCCAGGGTGCGGATCGGTGGACTGGTCTCAAGACTCTAGATGGCGGGCTGTCGGAGGCCGAATTGCGGAATGAAATTACTAGCCCCTACCGTATCAATGTTCCCACGGTACATATTTACGGATCGAAAGATCCTCGATGGGCGGCTGGTGTGCACCTCTCTGGTATCTGCGAGCCTACAAAACGTCGTACCTATGATCACGGTGGTGGGCATGAAATTCCCAGGACTGCTGCCGTGAGCAACTCGATCGCGGAACTTTTCCAGTGGGCTGCTGCACAGAGTGGCTCGAATTGAACATCGTTTAATTCATGTCATATCCTCTCACATGTCTTTGTTTTGTACTTTTGTTTTTCCTTCCGATACTTGGGATAGATATATACAGTGAGAGAAAATACAAAATTTAGGCCTTGCAAATATGTATTCAACAGTAAGTACGGCTGTTGACCGGGATTTGAAGAGCCTGAGCCCCCTCGCATGGACGCCAGGCTAGCAATGACCGTCTCAAATATTAGGTGGATAAGGAGAGAATACTAATATAGCACATTCATAGTCTAGAACGCTGGAGCGGCAAGACCCGATATTTTGATCCACTTTTTGTCTTGGTGTTCACACCATCATTGCTTTACTTCATATTAAATTCAGCTTTCACACCACGTCCGAGAAATAAACTCTATAGGCCGCCAATGGTTAGCCCTAAGTCACGCTAGCAAGGAATGGTCTCAGGCCCACTCGGAATTTCAAAATCTGACCTCAACTGAAGAATTGCCAATATTCATCATGTGGGATGAGATGCTCGAGCTCACGCGGGTCGAGGATTCCGAGGAATTCAAGTTATTCGAAGCCCTTGTCAATGGAGAGGTTGCGATTGATGATGCAGTACAATGGGTCATAAACAGGACAATGGACAGACTGGAGGGCTATGGCCCAGGAGGAACCATCGATAAGGCCGACGAAATAACATTCATAGCTATCCTTGAGCTGGCTATGCAAATCGATACAACTCAGTATGGTCCATTGGTTGAGTTCCTGGGAGAATTAAAGCTATACAACGCCATCGATTCGTCGACTGGGTTGATCCTAAAAACACAAGATGGAAGCAGAGTATGGTCGCATCTACCATCCCTGACTATCTGGGCCCGCGAAATATGGAATGATCGGATGACACGTAAGCGACATCGGGCTCTGTATTTTCTTCTGTAGCGCTAATCAATCCTCAGAAATCTGTGAACCGAATATGGAGCCTGATCAGCAAATCAGATGGGCGAAACTCAATATCTTTCTCGCGCAATCGACACAAGCTGCGGATGTGAATTACAATTCCTCGTTGCAAGCCTGGATCAGTGATGCTATGGATGTATCTTACATGGGGCTGTGTGGACTCCGCCATGTGTTCGAAGAGGGCATTCCCTCCGAACAAGTTGTCTCTACAGCTGGTCTGCTCAGCGTGTGCTACTGGCTAATTTGTGCCGGTGATAGACTGTGGGAAAATGTACTCAACGGCCGCAAATACAACAAATATGATGGTCGACCGGGCGAACTGTATTACAATTGTGGTTGGAGGGGCTTTGAACTGGAAAGATGGGATATATGGGTGCAAGGCCTTCGTGACGCGAAAGCTGCCTGCACCCCTAGCCAGGGACTCGTGGAAGATTTGGTAGACCGTGCTCTGTCCAAAATAGACGGTGTAATGAGCAACGAAATATTATCCAGCTAAGATCTTTCGATATTGCAAAAATAATAAACGCACTGGAATGCATGGTTGAAGCATAGTGAACATCTACAAGCCACCACTCTGGCATTGCAATAATGGGGATGTCGGGTTACTGAAAACATATATTTGAAGTAGATCTTGGACCCGTTCTTGAAACCTCGTAGAGGATATTGATTTAGAGCCTAACTCAAATAGTGTACATAGAAAGATAACGCCAAACCCATAGAGCTTCAACTATATAACATATTTATAGACATAAGTCATCTACCATGAGAATGTCTCTTCAAACAGGTCCACAGTTTTCTCCCCTTGCACATTTCTGACAGCCTCCCGCACAATATCGCCCAGGCCACCAGGACCGCAGACGCTAACTGCCATCGCACCGATTTGCTCTGCTTTTTCCTTTTCTAGCACGGATCTTATACAAGGCTTACCGTGATGGATGCCAACCGGTACGTTGGGTGGAGCGCATTGCATCCATAGCGAATCTGGTTGTGGTATGTATTCCTCGATTGTGTCCTTATGTGCTGTGATGTGGAGGCTGATGGAGAGGAGAAGTCGTGGGAATTGGAAGTATGAGTGCCCGTTCGCGTTTATTGGACCAATTAGGGACTCGTGGCCTAGTATGTCGGCCATGAATGTTTGAATCCAAGTGAGATGGTCTTTCCGTATGTTAGTGGTCAATTATATGTAAACGGTGGGGTGATCGTACCTAGACTGTGGACAATCCAGACAAGATGCACCTTGCGAGTGGCTATTTTTTGCTCGGTAAACGTGGTGACAACCTCGTTCAAATATGACATTGGGTGGGTAATGCCAATTCCCCCAGCTATCAACAACAGAGTACCGTACGAGGCGAGAGAATGGATACCGCCTGTGAGATGTTAGCAAGTATGTTTAGAGCAATCGACAATTAATGATCAAGGTATAGAATCCGTACCAAATGGCCCCTCTGCCAATGCCATAGCTTGAATGCGTCCCTCAGGCGAGTCTTCCGCCTTCTGGAGTAACCTTTTTGTGAATCCGTCTTGGCCCTTGATCAAGACGGACATGGTCGTAGTCGGAGAGTCTCCGATAAGAGCCTTCAAAGAGTCACCCGAGTTGCGCTTTTCGTTCATATCCAGCGAATCCGACGTGGACGACCACGCAACCGTAAAGGGATGTGATGTCCACAAGCCCAGACACGGCATATAGAGGTACATATACTGACCAGGATGGAAGCGCCATGCCCGAGCCACAGCCACATCAACCCGAGCAACAGATCCAGGCAGAATCTCGACGGTGGCAGTTGTGGGCTTTGAACTAAGGTTTCTCCACAGTAGTATTCCAAGTCGACCTGCACGATCGAGACCCCACAGGATCAAGGTGCCAAGAAGCACACGTTGCTGCAATAGATTTTGTAGGTGATACCAAAGCGCCACAAAGGAGAATATGGCTAGGGCTATGTGCAGGTGAAGGAATAATTCATAAAATGCATGTCGTGCCGGCGACAGAGATTGAATAAAAATGAAAAGGAATCCAAGGATGGCCTACGGATATGTTAGATGGCCATCTGAAGAACTGGTGGACTGCATCACATACCAGAAGGCCACATAGATAAAGCTTCTGTTGCCACATAGCATACAGAATATAATCTGTGCCATCTAAGTGCGAAAGTTCGATGTTAGTGCATAATTTCATCATATATAATCAAGGCCACTCACAAACATAAGCCAGGCTGGCCAGCACGGCGCTCATGTGAATGATCGCATTAGCCGTGATCACACGTCCCACCCAGCGGTGCATGAAATTGAACGTATCGAACGAGATACCCAATAGCGGGATCAACAGATTGTTCCGCCCTGCGCCTAGGACCAAGCCGGGCGTATTCATGACTGCCAGATGGCCTGCAGAGTATTTGAGCTGGAACATCTTCTCGGTATAATCACTGACCCACCAATCGACCGTCACAACAATGAAGATTATGTTCAGGCTGAGATAGATCAACAGGCAAATCACTTCCAGTCGTAGTGGTAGAGACCCCATATGAAGTCCAAACATGCGGAACTCGCGGCTGTGACGAGTCCCCCATATCGGAGCATATAACAAATGCTTTTTCAGGGCCGCATTGCAGCGATTGGTCCGGGACAGCTGCGTCTGGTCGGCTCCTTGCCGTGCCGCCTTTGATCGTCGACGATGTCGGATGCGAATGACGGTTTTCCAGACAAATAAAAAGACTATCAACCCGGCGACAACGAACAGGGGAACCGCAATCGCCGGGTTCATAGGCGGCTCCCCCGGGCCATTTGCTTCGAGTTCGACACCCATTGTGCCATTCAGAGAGGCAAGGGGAGCTCAAACTGCAGCTAGGTACGGAGACCGTCAACCGGAATAAACCTAGACTCTTCAACCCTCAAGGACACTTAAGACCGGGAAAGGGCGATAATACAATAGTTGAATAATGCTATTAAAGGTTCTGTGGTCGCGTGGAAAGGAAAGTAAGTTCTTGCATCATAGGCGTTGTATTAATTTCTAGATCAGGTCCAGGACTATAGATACATGCCGTCATTGACCGCTGCAGATCCCGCAAGTTTAATTTCGCCTCACGTTGACAAGGCAAGACAATTGTGTCTCACATGGTGAGTGTAACGTCAAGCGAAAGAGGTCTTGGCATACAAAGATTATTTTGGACGTGATGCGCTCGGTGGTGAGCTCCAAATCACTCCTGTCATGACCAAACCAGAGGGTATGTGGATAATGTGGCGGCCTGTGCCATCTCTGTAGGGCTTCGGGGACCTGAGCAGAAGTAAGAGAGTCTAGACGTAGCCGTTCGGGCAACCCGAAAACGGAATGTTGCCTGTCACTCTCAGCATTCTTCGTCCCCCGTTTGGAATGAGAAGAGAGATAATTAACATTAGCCCCTCGTTTCGGTTCCTGGATATCAATGTTGCTTGATATTTGGATTGTCACAACTCTTGATATCAAAGAGGCTCAACGTGGAAAGCCTCGGATACTCGGTTCAATGGGATGCAACTGCAACGTTAGAGACAATGGTGAAGTACAAAGTGGAAACTGTAGCGTAGCAATCTTTGAACTTTGTCGATATGATGACATAGTACCCTACTCAAGGCTTGGCTTGATAAAATGCTAGGCGTGTGTATAGATTGACAGACATTACCAAATGACTTCGGCTTTCACAGCTCCATTGAGCCTCTCTTCCGGGTTGAGAGCCCACGTGACCTCTGTTTGTTCCCAGTCTCTCCTTTCAGCCGAGATATTTCCAGATCCTACCATCTAGGAGTTCTAGACCTCTCGTACAACCATCCCGCTTCGCAAACCGCCCGAAACGGGGTGAGAGTTGTAGCGGGGTTGACACGTTGAACCGGATGAACAAAAATGAGAGTCGAAACTTGGCCTAGGTCGAATATCTCAAGGAGATGGAGTAGTAGGGCCGTTCCTGTGAAATATTCCAGAGAGTCAAAGCTCGAGTAGATGTTGCACTGTGACAGAAAGGAGACGCTGCCCATTGGAAGGGACTGCTGGAAAATTCAGCCACAAAAGCACTATGTTGCTGTTCTCGTAGAGCCATCCACCTGATTTTGTAGAAAAAGAAAAAGAAGCAATGAGTATGCAAGACAGGGAGGGTTTTATTTAGGTCAGGGCTATGGCAGAGTAAACAGTCCTGCGGTACAGTTTCCGATCAATGAAATGTCTAGTTATCCAATATTTATGTGATCTTGTTGGTTTTCAGGGTGAATTGACTGTAGTTATGATCCCATTCTATTTGGCACTAGAGCCTATACAAATACGTTACTCCTGATACCATTCCATATCTCCCTTGCCTGACCCCCATAAAACCTTTGATCATAACCAAGCTAGAAATACAAAAGCCGAAAACGCCCTCATTATTGGTTTTGCATAAGTGACACCCCGTAGTGGGATCATTGTAGATCTCAGTTAAGCACCTTCTGCACACTGGGAGGGGGGTGGGGTGATGGTTGGCCATCTTCCTCAACAGAGAGGCTGCCATACCCAGTGTCGTTGCTAGCTGACCGTTCCCGACGCAGAGGCGGTCTTTGGACAGGATCATCAACTAGATCCTGATCGGCATCGCTTTCAGATGACTGGGATTCTCCTTTGCGCCGACGTGTCCTGCGTTTCTTAGACAGAGCCTTGTCAGGCGCGGTGTGCATAAAGTCATCAACGTTGATGCCTGCGTTTTGGCAAATTGCTGTGCACGAATTGACGATCACCTCTACAAGGGTAGATGAAAAGCCATAGAACGCCGGGGTGTAGGCATTTCGGGCCCAATAGATGAGTTCTGCTGATACACGCCCGAGATTGGGGATGTCGCGGGGGCAGATGGGGAGCTTGCGGGCTGGACGGGACTTTTCCTCGGCTTCATCGTCTGCGGAGGTAGCCTCGGAGACTGGAGTCGAAGGGGAGGATGAATCGGATGACGCGATATAATCCACGTCAGAGGCGAGGAGGTGTAGGAGGTGATAGACAGACGAGAACCCAATGAGAGAAAGCTCGACTGGATCGACCGGAAGCTGATTGAACCAAGTGATGGCCTTTTGAATAGTGAAGGACTCGGGTAATGAGGAGGCGTTACCTGTCGATCGTTCGGTAACAATGGTGGCAATCATAGCACAGCGCACGGCAACGGAGATCTCATCCCGCACGGAAACGGGCAGAGAGGAATCAAGGAAGTTGGATGTGTGGCTCTGACTTCCCTTTCTCTTTTCTTTCGGTAGCGCGGCAAGAACTGCCTCAACATTTTCAATGCGGTTTTGTTCAAAGAATACTGCTTTCATCACAAGTGCCCGAGTATACGCAGCGGAAAGCTCTGGCGCCACGTCAAGGGACATATGGATCTTCTCCTTGAATGCATCGCGGCTTGCCTTGGACACCGGGCCCTTCTCGCTTGCTTCGAAATAATTGAGAAGAGCGGTTTGCAAAAGATGGCTGGACCACCAGGCCGCAAGTGCATCTTGCGAACATTGGATAGCTGGGTCCTCGTCCACAACATCAAGCAACACTTCGTCATCGCCAGTACCTTCCTGGGTTGGTCGGTTCCATGTCAGGTTCACAGCACGCTGGATAATGTTGTCGATCATGACATCCTCGCAATCTAGTTTGATCAAGGCAGCAAGATGAGGGGGGAGCTGATCAGGGTGACCCTCAGGCAGCGCGGCATTGATTTCTCGAGCCACGCCCCACTGGAATCTAGCGAGAGCTCGCGCAATGTCGTTTGACACATGGAACGACCAGGAGCCCGCCTCTCCAACATTCCATAAGAGAATGCGGACATGCAAGGCTTTGATTACCATTCTTGTAGGAGTACAGGGGAGTGTGCCGGCAGCGAAGATAGTGAGCACAAGGCGGCTTTTGCTGATCTCAGTATCTCCACCAGTGAGTTGAGCATCAATTGCGATATCCCAAGTCTTGACTCGCCCTTTCTCATCCTCTTCAGTTATTCCCGTTGCCCATGAATAGAGATTCCATCCCATGAAGCATCGTAAGACGTATTCGAAGCATCTTGAAGTAACAACATACCACTCTCGGAAGAATCTATGACGTGGAACACCAACCCGTTGCATGCTAGTCAGCCAAGCCTGCCGACGGAAATCACTAGAGGTAAGAGGCGCAGCTGGGCCCTCAGAAACCGATTTGGATGGACCACGTCGCGTGATGGGCTGCGCATTGAACAAGTAGACAAAAACTATAAAGGCAGTACCAACGACCAGCGTTGCTAGCACGAGGAAATGAGAAAATGCACGTGCCTGCCACGAGTACCAGAACTGCTTCAGGTAGAATTCCCAGTGTGCCAGTGTGGGTGTTTGGAAACGGCCGAGAAGACTGCCAGGGAGTGCAAACAGGCCCTTCGACTCAGACTCGGAATCGTCAGAGCCCATACCTTCAAGAACCATCAGACCGGCAAGGGCACCCAGCATATACTTGTTGGGCATCCTTGAACGTCGAGTGGAGGTGTCGTTTCTGGCATACTGCGGCTGATGAGAGGATGATGATGACGAAGGGTATTTGATGTAGGATTCAGCAAAGACACCTTGCTGCGCAGTTTCAGCTCGCATACGTTTCCATGCATCAGGAACCTTCAGGAGGCCTTCCGGTGGGTTTTGAGATATGGGTGAACCCTCGCTGGACACCTCTTCCGCCTGGGAGAAAACACTAGGTGATGTACCGGAGCCCGAGTCCGTCGAGGCGTAGTTGCTGGGCGAGGACACAGAGGCCGAGGATGTGGCGGCTTGATCTGCTGCTTTATCAGCCTGGCGAAGCCGGTTCTTCAAAGCAGTGTTCTCATCTTCCAATCGTTGGTTACGAATTTCCAGGTGCTTGATGTACTCTGTCGCTTTCGACAAAATGGATGCTTTGTTGAGCTTGTTCGCAGCATTTGCTCCCTCCGCTTCATCGTCATCATCGGCTGAGCCTCCATTTGGGTTCTTGGTCGACCGAAGGCTGGGAACACTGTCGCGAAGTTCGGCGATTTTATCGTTCAAGTTGGCGCGATACCGCTTCTCAATGACGTTGTGAGCTCGCTTTTTGGCGGGCATTTTCTTGCCCGGTTGCACTGGTCCAGTCACTGTGGTGGCGTCGTCATCGCTGCCAGTCTTTCGCTTCCGGCTCGTCCCAACACTTGAGATTGGAGACACCAGACCTAAATGTTGTTGATGGCTGGTGTGCCGATTTTGTTCAGGTAGGCTGTGGGTGTGCCCAAGGTTGTTATCGGCATTGGGCTCAGATGGAATCTCCATCAAGCCGAGAGGAAGATTAGGCGAGAAGTCTCTGTAGTTTAAATGACTTGGGGAACTCATATCGGTGTGCGGGGAAATAGATGGCAGATCTATAGATGAGGCCATTGGCTTTTGATCTCCTTCCGAGAATATTGGCTCATCCCATCGCATCCATTGGGTCCAATCTGGGTTCACGTTCTCTCCGGCTGGATGTGTGAACAAATGACCATTTTTTCCCGTTTCATCTTCACCAGAGTTTTGTGAAGCAAAAAGCTGGAAGTCATTCTCCATACTGGGACCAGACATCTTGGCTGGTATTCCACGGTTGGATCCTTGGCCAATGCCCGAGGCAATTTAAGTCCGAATGATGTATTGGGCACTCTAAATAGCTGTCACTGATGAAGGCGTTAGTTCCAGTAATAGGAGAAAAGCCACTGTTCTTTAAAAGGAAACATAATTGAGTTGCCTGTACAGCCATAGTAGAGGCAAAGCAGACACTTGGGCCGATACAGGCTAGCGGCGATCCCATGACAGCGGCAAAGAGATAGATAATACTGACTTGGGTTCAAGTTG